TTTTTTTTTTTTTAAATGCTGCTGTAGGTCAAAAGCCTTTAGGTTTGGGTCTTGGAGGTCCACCACAAGGTGCATCATATGGTTACCCAGGTCCCACCAAAAAGATAGAGATACCAAATGGCAGAGTTGGTGTTATAATTGGCAAAGGTGGGGAGACTATTAAGTATCTCCAACTTCAGTCTGGGGCAAAGATTCAGGTCACTAGAGACATGGATGCAGACCCTAATTCTTCTACCAGAGGAGTTGAACTCACGGGCACACCTGATCAAATAGCTAAGGCCGAGCAGTTGATTAATGATGTTCTTGCTGAGGTATTAATATGAGTAAACGAGCAATTAACCTCCATATGCGTACATTTGACCAAAGAAGAGCCCCTTCAAAAATATTTATCTCCGAGTGTTCCCTTGAAATAAAATATTATTATTTTAGATACATTTTATCCACGTGCAATGTTATGTGTCCTTTGTGCTTACAATTTGTTTATCATTGAGACAGGCTGAAGCAGGTGGTTCTGGCACGGTTGCTCGACGGTTTACTGGACAGCCGTCTGGAGCAGAACAGTTTGTAATGAAAATTCCTAACAACAAGGTAAATTTTGGTTAAAATTGATTGTCATTCCCATATGTGGTTCGTCTTAGTATTCTTTTAATCTGTAAGAATTTGTCAGGTGGGGCTTGTTATTGGTAAAGGAGGTGAAACCATTAAAAATATGCAAGCAAGTTCAGGGGCTCGTATCCAGGTAGGTTTGATCCAAATATGTATTTGTAGTTTATCATATACTGCTGACTTTTATGTAATTTTTAATTAATCAATTAATTAAATTTTTTTTTAAGCGGCAAAAAAACATTTCTGATGACAGAAATATCTTTCTGGAACATTTCAGGTGATACCTTTACATTTGCCACCGGGGGATACGTCCTTGGAGCGGACCGTGCAAATTGATGGAAGCAGTGAACAGGTTGAGGCTGCAAAACAGTTGGTCAATGAAGTCACAAGTGAGGTATATCCTATGCTTGTGTTGTATTACTTGTTGACCGCTCCAATGCATTATCTTACCTGAGAAGGGACAGACAAATATGTTTACCTCTTAAGTCTTGTCAAATTGCTATATTGCATTTTTGCTATTATGTGGTATCATTGTAGGAGTCAAGCCTGGTATTGGGATCTGTTGAGGATGCAATTGATATATACCCCTTATATATGGGATTTGTTTTTGTTATGAGAATTGTGATTCTGTGATATATTCTAGATAAGTTACCATGTTATCATGTCTATTTGATGTTTATAGATTTTTTTTGCTTTCACATTGTATTTGCAATATGCACATATGAATTTCGAGCTTCTTTTTTCTCTTTGTTTCTTTGCTTCTTCTTCTTCTTCTTCTTCTTCTTCTTTTTTTTTTGGGTCTCATCTAGTCGTATCCAATTTAGGTATTATTTTGTTGTGCAAATTTTCCTTGAATTTCATATTGCTGCATCTTTCATCTCTTATAAGATCCTTGTATTCGTAAAATATTGATCTGGTAATATTTACCGATGGATATACGTATGGTGTGTATGCTTGTCTTTCCCATATACCCTCCAAAGATTTGCAGATATCTTTTGCCATTGCTGTAGACACAAACAGATTGTTATTGAGGATTAAGATCCTTCCTCAAATTGGTCCTACAATAAAGGAGACAAGCCTTTTGCCATTCTTATCTATCGGAAGGGAGAACTCTTTGATATCTGGTTTGGACCTTCTCTCCTAGTTTCAATATAGGACCTTGGATATCATATTTTTTGCACTGCAATATAGTTAGCTGTATCCATCTATATCTGCTGGATATTTTGCTTGTTCAGTACACGTATTATCTGCAGTTAGATCTCTATAATATCATTTTGAGAAGAATGTTGATTAAATGTCCAAGGGTTGATCTTTGGGGTGTTGCTTTTGTTATTAATTTATTGGATATTGGTCATTTGGTTTTATGTGAGACAGGTCTTGCGTAAGTCTTCTACCCGAGGTAATTGAGTTGGTACAAATGCTTCTTATAATGTTGAGGATATATTTGAAATTTTAGTATTTTAGCCGGTCTTAGTTTGGATGCTCAGTCTTGTTCAGGATTAAGGCCTATCCTTATATAGATTTGTGCTGGTTTATTTTGTAACTGATTACTGATATTGTCATGGGGAATTATTTTTAGTAGGTAATGGGCCATCAGCAATTTTGCGTTATGTTCTAAAACTCATTTCCCAATCATTATCGCAGCGCTTTGGAAGAGTTACAGACTTAACGTTGATGGAATGTAGAAGAATATACCTTCAAAATTTGTAATCTAGATTAAAGTATTTTATAGAATCTTACTTTGCGGGTGATGTATATTTTGCTTGTTAAATTTTTCATAGCTAGTGAAACTATAATGGCTTAGACTCTCTAAATTTTTGGTGCTTTATTTAGACCATGACATATTAGGATGTTGCACATTTTATCATTTAACATGGTGTCTTCCCAATGCTTTTGACTACTAACAATATTTTGTTCAGTTTCCACACTTGGTTTTATATTTTCACTGTTGAAGAGTCCTCTCCTTTTCATACTATTGGGTTTACATTCCTGTTTACGTTTTATTGCACAAAGTTTGTTATTTTCTTTATCTTTTAAGTTTGACTGCTTGATATTTAAAAACCAGGAATTCATGTTTACATTGGTTGAGTGAATCATTCCTGTTAGGACACCTGAGTTTATGATGCTAAAGTGAGTTGGCCTTTTAGTCTTATGACACCATCAAAGATTTACTTGCAAATTCTGCAATTGGTAACGAAAAAATGGTTTGATTGAATAAATATGTTACATTTTTTTGTTGATATCTAGTCTGTCTTTTTGCACTTGTTGCCTTGTATGCAAAATGGGTGCATAGGGAGCCAATGGGGCTTCTGCAGGAGTGAATCAATAGTACCACTCAATCAATCAGTACGGTATGTAATCACTAATCTTCAATGTGCAATGTAGATTGTGCTCAACTTGATAGCATGAGAACTACTTCTGATTTCCTGTGTATATTTCTGCACACTTTACCTGGATGTCTATTTCGTTGATATATCTATGCTTCTCTTTTTAATGCCGTTTTCCCATGTTTGGAATCAGTTCTTGGTTAATTTGAGTCAACAATTTTGTGCAGAACCGCCTTAGAAATCCAGCGATGAGCGGTGGTTATTCTCAGCAAGGTTATCAAAATCGACCTCCTACAAGCTGGGCACAGCCCGGTGCACAAATGCAGCAACAACCTGGTTTTGGCTATGTTCAACCTGGTGCATACCCAGGTCCATCACCTCAATATAACTCGAATCAACCTCATTATCCTGGTTATCCTCCTCAACCCACCTCAGGTGGATATGCCACTGGCTGGGACCAAACAACTGCTCCACCAAATCAGCAAACTTCTCAGGTAGGCAGCTATGATTACTATAGTCAGCAGCCACCTGCTTACAGTCAAGGGCAAGGCTATTCCCAAGATGGCTATGGTGGATATAATGCAACAGCTCCTCAACCTAGTTATGGTCAGCCCCAGCCAAATCCCGTTCAGGGCTATGATCAGCAGCAGCAAGGTTACAATTCTACCTATGGCAATGTCTTGAACCCAACATCTGATGGCCAACCCCCTGCATATGGAACCACTGGTGATGCCACTCAAGCACCTGCATCTGGCCAGGCTGGTTATGGTGTCCCCCCAACTTCGCAGGGTGCTTATGGAACCCAACCGCCGGCAGGCTATGGACCACCTCAAGGTCAAAAACTTCCGAGTAGTCAGCCAGCTTATGGGCAGCCACAGCAGTCACCAAGTGCCCAAGGAGGGTATTCTCAGCCTCCAGTTCAGCCTAGCTATGCTCACTCTCAGCCTCCACCTACTCAGCCAGGTTATCCCCAGACAGATTCTGGTACCCAGCGACCATCATCAGGTTATCTGACATCTCAGCCAGGGTACGGTCCCCCACCTTATGGAGCACCACCGACTCAAACTGGATACGGTGGTCAACAGCAGCCACCACTGCATAACACAGCTTATGGTGGTGGTTATTCCCAACCGCCAGTTTACTCCGCTGATGGTTCTGCAGGTGGTGGTGGTGCACGTGGAACTTACGATGCAGCTCCAGCTCAAACTGTACAACCTAGCGGGTCTGCTAAAGCCTCACCACCCAGTTGATGTGTCATGGAGGTGATACCAGGGTATATGCGGTGGTCTCTGGAATGGTAAGCATATGGTTTAGATAAGGTCTACTTTAGTAGTGAGGGTCGAATTGAATTTACTATTTTGTTAATGCCTTTTCTTAATTATTTTGGAATCCTAGATATCTTTTGTGCTTTGTGTTACCCTTAATTTCTTGTCTTGGATTGTTATTGCTCATCGTGTTAAGATTGTTAAAATATAACTTCTCTAGATTTTGTTTCATTAATCTTATGCATTATGTTGGCGTACACATTTGATAGTCTTGGACGGGGCAAAGATGCCCAAAGAGCCAATCTGATCTGAGATCGACCCCCATTTCTCTATATTACACCTGAGGGAACTTTACGTTTTTCAGAGATGTAATCTCTTGATTTGTCATTCATATTCATAAATAGGTCATTAGAACCACCAGACTGAACAATATAGCAACTTTTAACTTGTATACATGCCACGTCAGCTTTACAACCAAGACAAACGCTTTCACAAACAATTCTTCCGTACCCTAATTTTGTGATAGAAGCTGCTTTCTCTAAGAAAAGCATATCTTTTAATTAGCGAAAATGTATTTGGGGACTGTTTCAAGAGACCGAAAGGATAAGAGCACGGCCTGCCGACGCACCTACTTGATGAGAATGGTGGCTTATTTATTGCTTAGTTGATAAACTAGTAATTCTTACTCTCACTTGACCATACATGGGTTATATTGTTAGTTTAGTAATGCCTTATTTGAGATTTATTTTAGAGTTCAACTTCTGATTTTCAAACAACCAGAATTGTTTGATAAATTGTGAAAATTTGAATCTGAACCTTCTAATAGCATATTTTGGGAGACGACAAAGTGGTAGCTTTTCAGATTTTCCTATTATCTATAATTAAAATATCAAATTTCACCTTATTTTAATATTAATTCATTTTATACTCTATGGGCTATGCTTTTGTTTTGTAATTTTATAAATTTAAAGTTTTGATAGATATTAAGGGAAATTGTTGCAACGGTCTTTGACCTTTTTATTTTTTTGCAGACTTTATCATAATCTTCATTTTGTGCCAAAGAAAATTTCCAACTTTTAATAAATATGCACTTGAAGTCCATCTGGATGGAAATCGTTCAAAATAATGTCAGTTGATATGAAAAATTTCTTGAACTATCTGCTACTGCGAAGGTATTATTGGATGTTGATTCCTTAATTTTTTCGATCAATTGATGGTGTTTTGGACTATTTTCGTTCAGATGAACCTCAGATGCATATTTATAAAAGGTTAACAACCTTCGTTGGCACAAAATAAAGATTATGATAAAGTTTACAAAAAATGAAAAGGTTAGGGACCGCTGTTGCAATTTTCCCTAGATATTTTTTTTTTCATGTAAGTAACTATAGTGAATAGGTGGTCTTTGAAGAATGATTAATAAATTATATATTGTTATAGAAATAAAAAACAAATTTTACAATGCTATCAATAATTTTAATATAGTATGACGTCATTATAATCAATGATTTTATACTGGCGCATCAACAAACTAATTACTAATGCTTTAATGTCGATTTGAAATAAAAGTTTACCAAACATTTTATTGATTCTTCACACAGCTAATTATTTTATAGCACTATAAAAATTGATTCTCTTAGAAGCACAATAATACTAAACCAAATCTAAGCCACTTTGTATGTACTCCTATTTTTAAACTTGTGAATGTTGTTAACACCATTTTATAGTATCTTGAAAGGGTCACTTGGATGAGAGGTATACGGATGCATCCAAATGGGCACACATTTATTGATGCCTATGATGCATGATTGGGTCGAGTGTCCGCTTTCTTTCTTTTTTTAAGCATGTAAAACCTTCTTAACTTTTCGATGACGAAATTGAATATTGTACATTGGTTGGTAGTAATTTATTGATTGAAAAAACAAGAAACATAATGTTATTACACATTCTAGTGCGGAAGCTGAATATTACACTACAACATCAACCTTTAGTGAAGTCATTTGGTCGAATGCATTACTTCAAGATTTGGGCGTCGTAAACACTCTATTTGTTCAGACCAATAAACAATTGAGTTATATCGATATTTCACCTACTTAAGGGAGTGTTGGAGAGGATTAGGATTACAATTGTTTTCCTTATTGATGGTAGATACAATTTTCCCCCCCAGTTCACCTTTTCCTTAGGAGGCCATATTATTGCACACAAAATATTGACATTATTATACACGGTATTACTCTAATTTATGTTTCTTATTTGGTATTTGTTAGGAAAATTCGATAATGATTTATTGGCTCTACATAATAAAATTACATCTGTGATCCTTTTTCAATATTCAAATGAAAATATAGGGCTGTCAAAATAGATCGGACAGCCCAGGCTCGAGATGACCCACATTTAAAAAAAGATCAAAACCAACGGATTGGAAAGCGAAAATGAATGGACTTAGGATTACAAAAAATATCTGTTCATTAAGTACTTGAAAAAATCTGATAAATAAGGAAAGCATTTGAATGCACCCATCTACAATAGAACCTAATTTCATTAAAAACAACAGTTACAGTCGAATGGGCATAGACGGGTACCTCCATCGTCTGGCTTTCCAATGCCCAACTCCTCTTCTGTGTAAACAGTTAGCCCATCTCCAGTTTTCTTCCAAGGCCGAGGAGGAGTCTCCGCAAACAAATTTCCTTCAGGGATTCTATTCTCTCTCTTCTTCTTTATCTTCATCTCTTTATGTTGCTCTGCTTTGGCATCTGATTCTTTCGCTGGTTTCTTAGCCTCTGCCCTTTCCTTTTCAGGTTTCTTCCTCTTCTTTCCAGCAAATATGTCATCAATCTCACTCCCCATTTTCTTGGGTTTGGAAGTGGACTTCTCCTGTTCAACATGATCTTGGTGTGCTGGTTTAGCCTTCTTAGCTGAACTGGTTTTAGTCATCTTAATTTGTGTAGTTTTTATCTGCAAGCAAGAAATCTTTATATTAAATTCATAACAAACAATTTATATTGAATAGTTTTTAATGGAAATACACAACATAATACTTGAAAAGGAGACATCAAAGCAAATATGCCAATTTATTGTACATCCCCTCTTCTTTCCAGCAAATATGTCATCAATCTCACTCCCCATTTTCTTGGGTTTGGAAGTGGACTTCTCCTGTTCAACATGATCTTGGTGTGCTGGTTTAGCCTTCTTAGCTGAACTGGTTTTAGTCATCTTAATTTGGGTAGTTTTTATCTGCAAGCAAGAAATCTTTATATTAAATTCATAACAAACAATTTCTATTGAATAGTTTTTTAATGGAAATACACAACAAAATACTTGAAAAGGAGACATCAAAGCAAATATGCCTATTTATTGTACATCCGTTACATAAAGATAAATAATTGAATTGCAAACAGTGCCAAGACTACAGAATATTTATGTTAAGAATCAATCAAATTGCTTTGACCCAATGTTGATAGTCTGACATTATAACTAAAAAATATGTCCAAGAAAGCTTGTAATGCATTGAAGTCTTAAAATCTCTCACCCCTTCCACTATCATATTATTCAACATCTTTCAAATCTAATTTACTCTACTTCCATTGCAAATCCCAGCTACCTAAATGTAATGAGCTTTTTTTTTCAACTAAAGACTTAGGGGGGTGTATTCAATTGAAACTTTTAATGACTTTTTGTGATTTAAAAAGTTCAAGGGTATTCAATTGAGACTTTTTGAGCTTCTCAAGTCACAGTGTATTCAATTAAGACTTTTATAGATTTTTAAAAAATCTCTAAAAGTTGCTGTGTATTCAATTAAAACTTTTTAAAAGTTAAGTCTTGAGGTATTCAAATTTTAATGACTTTAGAAACTTTTATAAAAGTCTCTAGAGTACTAACTTTTAAGTAGAAAGTACTCATATAATATCTTAAAATTTGTCTCTCATTAATCACAAGATTTTGGGAGACTTTAATCTTTCTTTCCTTTAAACTTCTATGAATATGTATAATTAAAATTTATTTTTTTCTATTTATTATATTCCATTTATTTGTCTTTTTCTCTCTTATTATTTATCTCTATTTTTTATGAAAAAATTAAATTGGATTTTTATAACTTTTTTTTTTTTTTTTCTCTTTTCATTCATTTTTTGTGAAAAATATCTATTTTTTTATATTAAATTATAAAAATGTATATGAAAATTTTATAATTAAATTTAAGTATATTTATTTTTAAAAGAATACTATACTAATAATATTGAATCATATATATGTATAATTTTGATTATTAATTATTTAATTAAGGTCTTAAATTTTTTTTTTTTTTATTATATGAGAAGAAAAAGGGGAAGGATAAGGGGAATTATGGAAACTAACACCTCGTATGTGAAAAAGTTACACCATATCCATGTGAATTCTATTCCAAATGAAAGTCTTCAAAAATCTTTTGAATTCCACAAAAGTCTATAAAAATTTTAAAATGAAAATTCATAGAATTCTACTAAAGACTTCCACTAATTCCATACAAATCTTTAAAAGATTTACGAAATCCATAAAACTCATCACTTAAAAAAAGTTCATCAAAGTATTCAAAAGTCCCAATTGAATACACCCCCCTTAATAGTAAGTCACAAAACAATTTAAAATAGGCTAAAAATAGAGATCATATTAAGTTCTTGTTTGGCCCACATTTCTTAAAGACTCATTTTTCTCTGGATTCATTTTCAATTACACATTTCATGGAACAGCTTTTATTAACTTTTCAACCACACATTTAATCAATTTTTATTAAAATTTACTAAAAATCTGATTTTTATCCAAACTAGACGGGGAAAATTACTACAATTAAATAAGCAATAACCTATGTCGTAGTGAAAAGAGCCTTTTTGTCTTTTTCCAAAGAAATGAAAAATAATCAAGGTCTTGTCAAAAGGCAGCGACCTTTTCATTTTACTATATGACCAATGCCTTGCCAAAATGGCAATGATCTAATGTCTTTGCTAAAAGAATATGAGCAATTACCATTGTCAAGACAATGGTAATGGCAGCACGTCTATCTAAGAAAGACATGACCAACTTCTTTCCGAAAGGCAACAACCTTGTCTGTTGCTACTAGGTGATAAGCCATGATATGCTTGCCATGCTTGCCACAAGACGATGTCCGCTAAATCTAGAAAAGCAATGACATAACCTCGGGGAGCCAGCTTGCAGCACTAGTTCTTTAATGCCTTTCAGGAACTAAGAGGCCATCTGTTTTTGAACTGGGCATAGTAAAATGTGGTGAAGAAATTGCTGGCCCAAGAATTAGCCTCTTTGGGTGAGGCATAAATACTTTGACCTGAAAAAGAGCAACCTATTCGAACGAGACATAATTGAAGCGAACCTCTTTGAACAAGGCATATTCAAACAAGACAAAAACAAAAAGGAGTTAGGCTTCTTGAACGAGGCCTAAATACTTTTAGCCCAGAAATGGCAGTCTCTTTGAATTTGACAAGCTAAAATGAACCCCAGCAAGGCCTCCCTATCGGACTCCCCCATTCACTTCTTTACCAATTATGGTTGGGTGAGGTCAAATGTATTGTAGGGACAAGATATTTATATTAATGGAGATAAAACGACTTACCCTCTTCACCGAATCACTTACTAAGTTACCATAAAGCAGAAGGAAAGAGACATTCAGCCCTACGCACAAAATTTCCATAGCACAACCCATAAAAGGTCAAAACTGATCCCAGAAAGAGCAGCTAGAAAAAGAGTCCAGCCAAACTATGGAAAGATTCATAATCCTAACCAAGCTGTTGAAACCTTCTACTATATAAACTAATTTAGTGTGGTGCAGAAGTCCCGTGAAGTTAAGACTACTAAACAAAGGTCTCTGATCACTAAAAATGCAACACTCTGCTAATTGCTATAGTTAAAATGTACACAATTCTGAATTTATTTACTCTTTTGTATGATTACACTTAACAAAATTAAGCATGTAAGCGTTGCCAGCAGTGATCGGATGTTCGCCCCCACCTTTGTTGCAGGTACTATACTACAAGTTATCTTACAAGCAACTGGCTTCTGACTATAACAAAATGATACCACCCGGCACCCAATATATATATATATATCAACATTTTTCATTGATCCATTGAACAAAGAAAATTCTTACAGAACATAGAAACCTACAAGTACAAGTTAAAATAGCAATTAGATACCGTGCTGATTGATAAAATAATCCAGCAACTAACCAACAATTTACTTATCTTACGTAAACAAAAGTTACTTTTGTCAAATTATTTCTAACTTTCACCCAGGACGTCTAGTTGCACCCACTGGATTTTTATCCTGGGTATTTCACCAATTACAGTTGAGGGGCAGCCAGTTTTTAAGTCAAGGAGAAAACCATAAACAACCGCATCAAAAATTCAAGAAAAATGTCGTCGAACAAATCTCCGTTGCTAGAGGAATACATCAATAAACAAAAAAATACGAGAAAAAAAATAAATTATAAGGAGTTGAGTTGAAAATAAATCATTCACAACAATCAGATCGAGCGGGATTTCAACATATAATGCCCGTTTTTACCCGAACAAAATCCGATATTACCTCCCAAGTTTGGTGACGAAGAAGTTGAGTAGAAGTCACTGCAACGCACGATAAATTGGTGACAAGGAGTGATGATTTTCCTCTCCTTCACAACAAAATGTTTCCCAAATTTTAGTGTAATAACCGAGGAAGAAGACCTCAGCCGCTTCTCCCCCGTTGCTCCATGAATAACACCATGGACTGGGTTATAGTTGGACATTGGGCTTTACAAAAAGTTGTCCCTTGAAAAATATCACAAAATGGCTCAATCAAATTCTAATCCATTTTACAGATGGGCTTCAATGAAGTAATAAATGAAAACCAAACTAGAGGAAATTACCCCCATACCTGTTTTTAAAGTTTACATTACTGGTCTGATTTTTTATTTTTATTTTTATTTTTTATTCTTAATTATATATTTGTGATTAATTTGTGATTTTTTAAAAATCTGGGACTATTGTCGCAAATAGTTCTTTATCCTTTCATATTTTTCCTTTTTGTTTTATTTGAATAAGACGGTGAAATCGTCTTTTTATTGAAAAATGAATGAAAAAGACCTCTTGGCAATGAAAGATGGAAATAAGGGTGAAAATGTCAAAAATGAAATGTGGGGACATTTTTCACAATGACAATGAAACGTATGGATATTTTGTGCTATTTACCCATTTCCCAAAAGGAGTAGAAAGTTTCTAATTGAAAAAGCTCATATATCTTCAGAAGGGTAATTAGTACAAAATATTCATACCTTTCAATATTATTGTGTAAAACGTCCATACTTTTCATTTTTTTGGTACTTTTACCTTTACTTTCACCTTTTATTATGGAAATCATCATTTTCATCAAACTTTTCATGTAAAATGACAAGTATACCCCTATTTAAATAAAACAATAAAAAAGAAAAGAAAACTTAAAGAATGAATTGCAATCATACTTCCAAACTTTTTAAAAAGTGCAAATGAGTCCAAATAAATTATTAAATGAGTAATTAGTACAAAAATATTTCCACCTTTCATTATTATTCTCTAAAACGTACCTACCTTTCATTTTTTGACATTTTCATTCTTATTTACAAATTGCAACTATGCTCCTAATTTTTTCCAAAAAAAAGTATAAATAAATTTCAAATAAATAATTGAAAAAATAAAAATCACTTTCTTTTTTAATTATTTATTTGTACTTTTTGAAAATTTTAGAAATATAGATGCAATTTGTTCTTTACTTTATTTATTTTTATTTATTTATTTAAAGAGTGGTGTATATTTATCATTTTACAACTTTTAATTGAGAAAATTGATGAAAATAACGATTTTCACAATGAAATAATGCTGAAAATGTCAAAAAAAGAAAGGTAAGGACGTTTTGCACAATAATAATAAAAAGATAGGGATGTTTTGTGCTAATTACTCTTTTAATAATTTATTTGGACTCATTTGCATTTTTTTAAAAATTTTGGGAGTATGATTGTAATTTATTCTTTAACTTTTCTTTTTCTTTTTTTGTTATTTTACTTAAATAGTGGGTATATTTATCATTTTACATGAGAAATTTCATGAAAAATGATAATTTTCACAATAAAAAGTGAATGTAAGTGTAAAAGTGCTAAAAATGAAAATGGACGTTTTGCATAATAACATTGAAAGAGTTCCTTTGCCGGAGATTGGATAGCCAAAGGGAAGTCCATAGAATAGTTATAGTATAGCTTTTCCAATATAATAAAGTTACGTTTTACGTAGTGTCTATTTATCAAATGACGTTTTGTGCTAATTACCCTTCTTTAAAATGTTCTTTTCATAGCTTTACTTAAGATCAAATTTAAAAGTTTTAGAAGGAATGCAGAAAATGCTTAGAGCGCGTTTGGTTTGTGTTTCAATTTTCAATATTGAATTCAATTTTAGTTTTCTATTTTAAGAATCTATTTTAAAAATTGTTAAAAACATTTTTGATTTGTCATTTTGAGAAAGTATTTTTCAAAACAGAAAATTAGAAAACATGTTTAATTTGAAATTTTGAAAAATTATTTTATAACACTTTATTCTAAAAAATTTGATTATTTAGTAAAAATCGAACAGATTTATGTTAATCAATTTCAAGTAATATATACATTTTATAGTTGGTGAATTTTACAATATTTTTTCTTGTTACAAAATAAAAATAAAAATAAAAATAAAAATAAAAAATAAATTGAGTTCAAATTACCGAAAATAAAAATAAAAATTAATAACGTGGACTCAAAATAGTTTTATTTATGTTCATCTATTTATTTATTTTTTTGGAATTTTGATGTAGAGCTTGGACTATTTTTATTTTTTATAATATTTATAATTTTACTTTTTTTCTATTTATTTTTAAAATTTTATTTAAACGTTTGTTTTCTATGTTTTGAATTTATTCATTCACAACGTTCATTGAAAATACTCAAAATGTTAAAAAAGCATTTTGATTTTTATATTATAAATTTAGCATTATTTTCGAAAATGTATTTTCAAAAATATCAAATCAAATATGCTTTCAGTGTTTTGCGAAACTTAAAATTAAAAACAACAAACCAATCGCATCGTTATATTTTCTTCAGATCTCTCGCTTTAATTGGTTGTGGATTTTTTTTCTTTTCCCTTTAGTGGTAATTTGAAGTGAAATTTCACATGATCATCGAAGATCAAGCGAAATTTTAAATTGGACATTAATTCGTTGCTTGAGCCACATTCCTCTCAAAATTTATTTTCAATTATATATTTTTTAATAAAATAATATTACATGTAAACCAAATTTTTTTCTTAATTTTTAATTACACATTCTCTATCAATCACTATTTAAAATGCGTTTTGTCCCTTAAAATGCGGCTCAAACAAGGGCCAAAATATCTTTGTGATCCGTATTTAATAATTGTGATAAACGACATCCAACTCCATGTTTAAAATTGGCCCACTAAACCTTTGAAATTACCCAACGATCATCGTAGGGAAGGATAAAAGTTTCAAATTGAACCAAACAGGTTGATTTGATTCTTCTTAAGTTAAATTGGATACTGAATATTAGAATTAAGAACCTACGGATTTAGTTTGGTTTTCGATTCTAAATTCAAAATTAAACCTGCGTATTTTTCATTTTTTTTAAGGCCCCATTTGGTAGCAATTTTTTATTCAAAAAAATTAATTTTTGGACCGTTATTTCAATATTTCAGCCGTCATTTTTTACTTTTTCATCACGGGTGAGACCCACTTTTCTTTCTAACGATAAAAAAATCAATGTTCATAATCACCACTGAACATGCCCTCAACATATAATTGAACCAAGCTATAGATGATTAAATGGTTGATGTGTATTAGTAATACAAGAATAATATTTTTATTTCTAATACCTTTACTTTATATTTCATATTTATTTTTAGAATTTTGCCATTTATACATCGGCGTTGACATGCCGGTGTACAAACCCCTCACAAGAGGGAGGGGTCCATGCCTAATAAAAAAAGCGTGGGGGCCTCCTCTTGTGAGGGGACGTCGTTGGTGTACGTGTAGCAAAACTCTTATTTTTATTCAAGTAGATTTTTGATAGCTAAGTGATGGAATCAATGAGGAAAGGAGATTCACTTATCTTGTACTGTTACTGGATACTTTTTTATCATTCGTGTACTTAAATTTTATGAGAAAACTTTTTATTTTTATTTTTAAATTTGGACTATGCTTATCATTTTTTATTTTTCTTAAGATAGAACCAATTATTTATCAGATATATGCGTCGTTTCAAACATAAGGAGAGTGAAAAATGTTTTTGGAACTATGAAAACATTAAAAAAACTTAATTATGGCATGGAACCATATCAAACTGATCCGAATAGTTTGGTTAATTAAAGTTGGACCAAATGGTTCCATTTTCAAGATATTCAGTAATTTGATTCGATTATATTCTCTTCAATATCGAACCAAATCGTACAAGCCATCCCTAGATCACTTGTTCATATTGTGAAATTACAAATTTTTAAAATAAAATACGATTCTTAAGAGAAAAATCCCCACATTCAACCAAAAATATCAAATCCAATCCCTTAACCCTACCATATTATTATTTATAATTCCTAATAAATAGTAAAAATGTCCAATAGAAGTAAAACAAGGTCAACTCGAAGGAGTCGATTATTTTAATGACTGTTAAGCTGTTAACCATTGTTAAGATTCAACGGGTTTGTAAGGATCACTAACAAAGTGAATAATTATGTTACTTATGAAGTAAGTTTGACTGACAGAACGGGTCACAAAAATTACTAGGAATAATTAGAAATAGAATTATACGACTCATTTAATTAAACTTCTCAGTGTCAATTGGTGTCGTGAAAATGATTATGTTAAGTAGCCTTATTCTTAACCATATTAGCTCAAGATTTTTATTTAAGAGATGGGAAATTTCACGTACGGACCGTTTACACTATCACAGCCGCCAAGGGTTTTTCCCAACACTAGCTAAATGTTGGACAAACTTGCTAACACTGCAATTGCTATTTTCTCTCTTAAAGATGACACTCTTAATGATTTAATATCCTTTAATAAATTTCCTTTTGATATTTTATGTAAACTCCGATTGAATGGAGGCGTTCTTTCCATTCATAAATTTAATACATATATTTGACAAATAATTGTGACATTTAATTTAAGTCAATCTAATACTCAATATCTTATTAATCTCAAGTGGTTATAACAAACTTTTCCGTGATCTTAGTAAACTTCATATTGATCATGGAATAGACTTAAATTAAAAGTCACGACTATTTGCCAAATAAGTATGTCAAATTTATGAGGAGGAGGAACGGTCCCACCTATCGAAAGCAAGGAGTAAATTAGATAGGCACTTGATACAAACAAACATAAGGGCAATGTGTGGATTTCCCTTCATCCAATTCACCAAATAAAAGCATTCCTGTATACCATCCATCAAAACATGGCACGTCTTTACTATCACACACAAATGAAAACAAAACAATGTAATCTATTTCCTTTCACCCCACAAAAAATAGACGAAGAAAAAAAAATGTAGCGAGTATGATAGATCAACTTCAGGGGCTCAAGTATTTTGATGGATAATTAAGCTTATTCATATTTTGGATCCTCTCCTGCGAGCAAATCGTCATACGAAACTGGCATCCGTATTCGATCATGAACAGGCACACGTTTCTGTGCATCACTCAACTGTTCAAGCTGATTGTGCGGATTAGATTCAAGTTCTAATCCATCTGGAAAATTGACTGCAAGTTGATCTGTTGAGTTATGGGCAGCAGCTTTACTTTTCATTGGTTCTTGTTTACTGTAGACTTGTTGCTTAAATTGCTTCTGCAAAATGTATGTACAATACCGATGTTAAGCGTGAATGAAAAACTATGCAACCTATCGCATACAAACTTATGGCGTAAATCCTTCACAAGAACATGATGCGAACCAAAAGAAATACAGTTACTATACATAAAAGGCCGATTTCGTCTTATTCTCTGGTTTACCCTTACATTTGTCAGTTCCAAAGCAATAGTTTCTAAAATAATTCCTGAAGAGGAAATGTGAAACATCAAATCCCTAGAAATCTATCATTGCAACTGATTTTCTATACAAATCTAGTACATATTTCATTGATGTCTGGACTGCCTACGGCTTTGACATGCAAGAAATCTACTATTTGGCCATACAAAAACATAAATAAAAATAAAAATGAAAAATATTAATTAATTAATTATTTCTAGAAAGTAAATCAAGACTTGCTTTCTAGAAAAATTAAGTTCTGACAATAAAATGTAAATTTGAAAATCATATTTAACAAGATGAGTAACCTAAAAGGTTTGATCTACTTTTAAGTGCCGCTAATCATTTGATGGAGAATCAGCACAAGTTAATAAATGAAGAAAAAATAACAGAATGAATATATTACGATCCACCATCCGAAATTTACTGTCCAGAATAAATCACCATATTTCTTTCATTTTTTTAATTTTTTAAATTCTGAATTGTACTGTTAGAGTTACTATCAAAACAAGTAACTCCTTTTCTTACTAAAGAGTATAATAAGTCAATTATCCAAACACGTTGAGAGATAAAAAGATTAAACCTCTCCTTAAGCTTAGCCAAACATGCTCATTAAGTTCACACGTGACTTCTATATATTCCACGTTTGCCCAGGTAACTAAAAAATGTAGGGATCAAGTTCAAATGGCAAACAGAGAGAAATGAAATCCAAACATACCTCAAATTCTCTTCCTTTTTTCATTATCTCTTTGTAAGCATTGGAATCTCGCACTTTGATGATACTCCATAATATGCCACCGCCACTTCGAAATCGTCTGCCATCAGCAGTCTTCTGACCACCACAGGCTTGAATTGCATCAACCTACAAGTTTATTTCTAACTAATTATATGTCAAAAAAACTAGCATAAAGTGCAAACTGCATTTGGCCAAGTACTGATGACAATCTCATCCTCGGAAAGCATGACAAAGAATTACCCAAATACAACCAAATACAACAAACTTATTTTGAAACCCAAGTATCATAAAACTTTCAAATATGAATTCACAGTACGTATAAATTCAACCCTTAAAGACATAACATTTGTCAGTATTACTTGCAGAGATGGTCAAAATAAAAGAGCTCGTGAATCAAGCATTAATGCCACCATTAGTAGGTGTTGTAAGAAACAATTTTTAATTTATCATATTGATAGATCAAATAAATGGACCAATGAGATAGAGGGCAATTAATCAATTTGTCCGAATAGCTTTCTGAACTTAATATATCTCCAAGGCCACATCCTTATTTTCCTATTATGAGTTCAGACTCAAAATGTGCTTGACCGCTTGCCATCTAACCACAAGCTTCCTCTCTTTCACAGTTACACTCATAAAAATCTCTTGGATTTTAAATTCAACTATGTGAAAACAGGTATCTTCACTGTCTTTTTTTTCCCTCAGTAGACCTTCTCTTTCTTATTTAGCACGGTGCTTTCTCTTACAATCCGGGGACGATACAAGTCCTCTGAGTAGTGTGCAATTTTATTAGCATACCGTGTGGTAGAAGTTGGAAAACCACTTGAATCAGCCTATATCAATGGGAAACTATGAAGAGATTCAGCCAGAAGCTATCTCAGATGAAAGGTTCGCTGGTGAAATGGCTTCAGCAAGATGTATCTGTAGTTCAAGGAAACATTATTGATGATCAGAACTAAGAAAGGCAGCAGATCCTTATATAGACATATATGGTCGATTAGAATATCTCACCTTTAATTGGAATTTTGACATGATTATTTCTCGATCTTACACAAAAAATGGATAATAGATTCTACTATCGATATTGAGCCGTATTAGAGGAGATACACAAGCTACAAGGAGTAGGAACCCACACGATAACCTCAATCCACTTACCAAATACCAATCTCTAGACGATGATTGTGCAAACAGGCTGGACGTATACGCTGATGGGTCTTTAGAATAATTAACAAAATACACCATCCAAATTAAAACTAAATAATCAAGTGAAGCTTTTTCTTTTTAAAAAAAAAAAAAAAAAAAAAAAAACACCAATTCTTCATCGTGAAGAATTTTTTAGATGTACTTCAGTGAATTCAATCTTATTTCCCCTCACCATTAATCCATACCATGGACTACACACACACAAAAACAAAAAAATAAAAAAGAGTAATAATAAATAAAAATCCCTCATTTCAGTTACTTTTTGACAAATTCAAAATACTTTACATGACGAAAGCATTGTGATTCTCTCCAAAAATCCTAAATTGGACAAGAACTTTGTGGATCTATAACAGCACTAGTCCAGATCAAGTTAACGATAAAGTCGTATGCCAAATGAAGATCAACGGTCACCAATGTCAAGCCATTAGAAGGTTCAACAATGACGTACAACACAATAACACACAGAAAGAAAAATGGAAATAGTACCTCTTTGACAAGATCACTTAAAGCAGATACCCCGAGACAACTAACGGCAGTCCACACAAGATAAGATTTTCTCTCCCTTAAGCGCTTGCAGACATCTGAAACAAACCTACAGATAAAAACGTAAAGAGGAATGGTCACCAGCCATGAACATAATTACTACAGATGAGAAAAACAATGATTAATCTGGAGATATTTCACAACTCCCTATTTAGAAGAGCCAAAAGCAAAGGGATCACAACTGCATATGATCCATATATTCCTAATAACAGATACAAGTGTTTTATACAACAAATCAGCAGACTACATATTCCTTGATTACAAAGAAAATATGCTTCCGTCAGTATGTTATATTCACAAACTAAAGGTGGAAATCTTCCATTATGATCCCATTACAGAAGTGATATTTCCAGGTTATCAGAAGATTAAACTCCACTTTACATGCTAAATATACCAAACATCTTAGATAATCTGAGAGGCTCGTTTTCTAAAAGGCAAATCCAGTCTGGGAGGTGGGACCACTCTATTGAGACAAAATGAATGGAGACCACCTCAACAGTATGTATGAAGTGCTAATAGAAAAATGAACACTCGTGACCAAATTGTCAATTGTGTATGGATATCCTAAGGAAAACTAATCACCTGTTAATGTCTGTGACATCTGAGCCAGAATTGCCTCGCCTTCGCTTGTTCTTCTTTTTCTTCTTCTTGTTCCTGGAATTATTATTGTGAGATTTGTGGCTATCAATGGTAGTACCACAGCCATCTCCTAATTTAGCCTTTGTCGCCTGGCAGATTAACTCTCCTTCTTCGGCATCATGCATCTCAACATCTTGAGCATCATCAAGACTCTCCTCTTCAAAAATTGTGTCCAGTAAGCTATCTCCTCCCTCCATCGGATAAGCAACCTGCATTAGGTTTAAATATGAAATCATATAAAATGGGGCAATAATATATAGAGAACATACATATTCATTTGAAAACATAAAGAATTGCAATCCACTAATGTAATACATCAAAAGAAAGCTAAAAACAAAATCTCTTGACAAAAAAATTATATAAAATACTTAGTGAAGTAAAGGAAAATGCAAAATCAAGAAAATTACCCCCCAAACCAACATAAAGGTCAGAAAGTAATGGCAAAATATATGTAATCCAGAGTGTAAGGAATGGGATTATGTACTGTCCATGTGAAAACTGAAAAATGGGGAGCACTTATTTCTCTTTCATCTTACATGTCCACAACTTTATAAAAATTGTGCAGACATGCATGCATTTGGTGCCATGTTACTTTTCAGTGAATTAAAGAATTTTAATCAAAATTCTCATTAGGGCTGGGCAAATCTCCCGAACCGAACCCGATGGCTCTTGTCAAATTAAATACCCGAACGGGTATCTGAACTGAGAACCGTACGTTCTCGATTCTAGACCAAGAACCGAAAAACCGAATAAAAATCGAATCTTTCTAATTTTTTTTATATTGAATAAATCAAATTAATTTAATTTTAATTTTTTTAAATAAATTAACAATTTCTAAATCCAAATTTTTGGCCCAATAATTTGTTTCATTTCTAATTTTTTAATTTTTGGCCCAATTACCAATTTTATTGTTTCATTTCTTAGCCCAACAAAGATCCAACCCACTAAATAACCCTAAATACCTACACTAAAGTGCATAACGTTGTCTCGACTCTCGCAACCTCGCTGACATTCCAAAATCTATACAATTGTCGGTCGACACTGCGATCTCCAATCGAAGTTGTGACCTCCGTCGATCGAAACTTTGACCGTAGCGATCATTTGAACAATGTAGTCTACTAGTCTCTGACATTCCAAAACCATTTAATGTGTCATTAGTTGTATTTATATAATATTGTTATAAATGTTAAAATTTTTAATTATAATACGGAACTGAACCGAACCCGAACGGTTCCATAATTATATTTGGACCCGATGATTCCATTTACTAGATACCCGAAAATTTTGGTTCGGTTCAATTCTCTTTAGAACCGAACCGAACCGAACCGACCCGCGCCCACCTCTAATTCTCATAGCTGTATTTAAAAAAAAAAAAAATTAATAACATAACCTTTTTTCTGAAGTATAATATTATTACCTATTGAATAAAACTATGGCAGAAAACACTTTCTGAAAAATAAATCTAGTAGCTATTATAGCCCCGTGCACAATATAGGTATATGATACCAATTTGGAAATATCCTACATGAGGGTCAAATCCATCAATGACCACCCAACTTTATACTTAGTGTCAATATGACCACTCAATTTGATGTTGTTTCATCACGACCACCCAACTTTATAATTAATATCACCTAGCCACCCAATTTGATTTTATTTCACAATGGAGACCTAATTTCTTTTCGCAATTTTCACTAATTTTAAAATAGGCAAAAATGTCACTTAAGATTATGTGTATAAAATAAATTTTAAAAATAAAAACTTATTTTAAAAAAATAAAATAAAATAAAATAAAAACTTATTTAAAAAAAAGTTACTTAAAAAAATAAAAAACTTATTTAAAAAAAATTTACTTAGACAAAAAATAAAAAGTTATTTTAGAAAAAAAAAGTTCCTTTTAAAAAAATAAAATAGAAACTTATTCAGAAAAATGTTTTTAATATAAAAAAAAAATTATTGAAAAAATGATTTTTAAAATTCAAAAAAAATTTATTTTTGTTTTTTTCAATTTATTTTATATATATAATGCAAAGTTATCATTTTACCCCTATTAAATTAGTGAGATGGGTGAAAAGAATTTGGATGATCATGGTGAAATTTTATATGAAATTGGATTGTCACAGTGAAATAAATCAAATTAAATGTCATGATAATACTAAATATAAAGTTGTATGGCAATTGAGAAATAAAATCAAATTCGTTGACTCCCCTAGAAGACCACTAACTTCATACTAAAATAACCTAATGAGGAGTTGATTGTTCCAATGATCACTGAACTTAGGTCTATATCTTTGATTGATCACTGAAATTTAAAATATCGAATTTTGATCACTGAACTTAGGTCCGTGTCTTCGATTGCTCATTAAAATTTAAAATATCGAGTTTTGACCACTGAACTTTGAAAAATGTTGTACATTAGTCGCTGAACTTTGAAAAATATTGTACATTAATCACTAAACTTTGAAAAATATTGCACATCACTCACTGTAAACTCGATATTTTTCAAAATTCAACAGTTATACTAATGAGTAACGTACGACATATTTCAAATTTCAATAGCCAAAATTCGACATTTTAAATTTCAGTGAGATATGTAAGACACACGGACCTAAATTCAGTGAGCAATCAAAGACATTAAACTAAATTTAGTGATCAAAACACGACATTTTAAATTTCGTTAACCAATCAAAGTCATGGACCAACACTCACAGGGAGAAACTTCAGAAGTATTACTATTATTTTTTGCAATAAAAAATTTACATGGGGTCATATCCTTGTGAGAGCCTGTAGACATCCTGTGAATTGAGAATAATCCAACATTGGAACAATTAACTCCCTAATGAGTGTATATCAAAACTGTCATCTTATTTCCGACTCCAAAATAATCACAAAATTCCAAAATTAAAACGATTATATCTGTATATACAGTATATGTACTGCCGTACTGGCGACAAAAATTTCTAGTTTTGGAGGCGGATATATCGAGGCAGTAAAAAAAATAAAAATAAAAATAAAAATAATTCACCTCAAATGCCGTGACTCCCTGCTGGAACCTGGCGGCAGAAAGAAATCTGCGACGGCGGGTCGCTGTATGGGGCTGCCGGTTGCGGCTGGGAGTGGCGAATGGATTGGATTTCGAGTGAATTTCAACTCTCGTGCTTTTCTCTATTTATCTACAGAAATTCTAGGGACTAGGGAGATGAATAGATGAGAGAGTGTGGGTTTAATTAGGGTTTTTAAGCCATTTTTATGAGGCTAGGGCATTAGATTAATGGGGAATTAGTTCAAATGACCACCCCACAATGTTTCTCTCTCTCAGCCTTTGATCAAATTTTTTAAAAGAAAAGAAAACTTTAGCACAAAACATCATTATCTTTTAATATTAATGTGTAAAACATCATTACTTTTCATTCTTTGAGATTTTTACTTCTATTTTAACCTTTTATTATGAATAATATAATTTTCATCTAATTTTTAAATTAAAAAAAAAAGTCAAATAACAAATATACCATCCTATTTAAATAAAACAAAAAAGAAACATTAAATAACAAATTACAATTATATCCCCAAACTTTTAAAAAAATACAAATGAATCCAAATAATTTATTAAAAAGATAATTAATACAAAACGTCCCTACCATCAAATATTCTTGTGCAACACGCCTCTAACTTTTCATTTATTGATATTTTCACTGTTATTTTCATATTTCATTACGAAAACCATCATTTTCATTCATTTTCTCAATAAAAATGTGTAAAATGACGAATATACCATCGTATTTATATAAAAAATAAGGAATAAAGTGCAACTATACTCCCAAATTTTTTACTAAAAACGATGATGCGACCGTCCAAAATTGCCCATCAAGCTTTCGACATACGTAAGACGATCGAAGAGGTTACTAAGTAGGTTCGATCTCACTTAAAGGAAACTACTGGAACGTTTGTGTTTCCATAATTATGTCACATCTTCAAACTATTTCGGTAGAAAGAAAGTACCTTCATTGGCTCTTTCTAAGTTGTCGAGTGATATCAACTCACTTGAAAACTTCCTTTGATCGTCCTATATATGTTGGAGGCATGCTCGGTGGTCATGGCAGTCGAATTATTATTTTTAGCAAAAACGACATGAAAATCGTTTTACATAAACTAAAACCATATATATGTCATTTTAGTTATGATTTAAACTGAAATAATATCAATGTCATCAAAATTATACTGGAACGATAATGATATCGTTATGTATCAAACCCAAAAAATAACATAACGACGTCAATATTATTTTAGTACAAATTTGATGAGTTTGAAATCATTCCAATTCAAAGCATAACTACAATAACATGGATATCGTTTCTTTCAAATAAAGTAATTATTGTATCGTTTTAGCTAAAAACAACGATTCGACCGTTCATAATCACCTGACATGCCTTCGACATACGTAGGACAATTAGAAGAGGTCATCAAGTGAGTTGATATCACTTGAATAACTTAGAAAGCGAACGAGGATACTTTCTTTCTGTTATAATAGTTCAAAGGTGGTATACAATCATGAAAATACAAATTTTCCATAGTTTCTTTTGTGTGAAATTGAACCCACTTGATGACCAATTTCGAATATCCAATATATGTCGGATGCATGACGATTGGTCGCGGACGGTTGAATTATCGTTTTTAACAGAAATAATATATTTATCATTTTATATAAACTAAAGGTATATATGTCATTTTAGTTATGATTTAAACTGAAACGATGTCAATATCATCAAAATTCTACTGAAACGATAATGATATCGTTATTTATTAAACCCATGAAATAATATAACGACATCCATATCACTTTAGTACAAATTTAATGAGTTTGAAATTGTTTCAGTTCAAATCGTAATTATGATGATATAGATATTGTTTCTTTTAATATGAAATTAAAATTATATCGTCATGACTAAAAATTATTATGAATTGAACTGAAAACGATATCAATGTCGTCAAAATTGTATTGAAACAATATGAATATCGTTATGTATTTCGTGAGTTTGATACTTATGATTTGTTGTTGTTTTTTTGAAAATTGTATGAGAAAAGGTATCCATTGAACGAAGGACGAAAATTCGGGGACCAAAATGTTAACCAAAGAAAATTTGGTTGGTGTGTGCACCTCTAAGTTGTTTATCACCCAAGAGAATAAAATGGTCCATTAGACGAGCACAACAGCTCTCTATGTCTCGTGCGCTGTGCAAATTCTTTATATAACGACTTTTATTTCGTTTTATTGGTCTATAACGACTTCAATGTCGTTATGAAAATTAGTAATAAATTTTGTTTTTTCATATTGGAACCATATCAATTTCGTTTGTCTCAAGAAAGATTTCATTGTTGTTATGTGAATCTGTACAATTTTCGTATTGGAATGACATTAATATCATTTTGCGTTTCAAGAACGATTTCAATGTCATTATGAGAATTTATACATTTGTTTGTAATGTGAAAAAATGCAATAACGTAAAATGACTTTAATTTTGTTCCAATAGTACAAAAGCGATAATCGTACAATGATTGCTAAATCTAATAAATTATTTTTACTTCCAATAAATATAAAATAATAAAACTACAAGTTACGAAAATATTACAATTTTATGTTTCACTACTAGCTGTTCGGCCCTTACAAGTAGAGCGAACATGACCATATTTCTTACGGTTGAAGCCTTTGGCATTATAAGGACAAAAGTTGACATCTCCTTTTTTTATAGCATTGTATCGACCTTCAATATCTCTCTAACTTACTAGATAACAAACTGAATCCATAACATATCCACGATATCCGTAACTGCAATCAACACAATAATTTTAAAAATTTCATCAAATATCAAACTTCGTACATTAGGCAATGAAGTGTATGTAGTTATGAGTTGCAGAAAACGATATATAAGTTGTTCAGAAAAGGAAAAAAATGAAATGCAAGTTTCATAGTAGAACAACAAATAGAATGGTTAAACATGTGTTTACCAACATATTCGCTTTAAAAATGAGAGGTAATGAGAAATAATGAAAAGCAACACATATCAAAGCACTAATTCAATGATTAAATGAAATCAAAGTTATTATTGACAAATGAACACCATAAATGCAAACCACAATAACATGAAGAAATGATTCAGAAAAATTAAAAAGAAAGCAGTCCAATATATTGAAATTTAACATTACATTTTCTCGTTCTCCAAATATCCAACAAGAATATTGTAAACTTTGATTACTCACTTCAACCAAATGAGTATTCAACGGAATAAAGGTATTAGATTTTAGGATTTCATGAAGAAGAGAAGATGGTGATAATAAAAAGAGAATAATTGCACAGAAATGTCATCATGACTGTGGAAGAAAGAAAGCAAAAATTGAATTAGGGCTAAAGGGAAATTAGGGCATTATGTCTTTTTATAGACAATGATATTTTCGTAATTTACAAAATGTATTTTCCTTTTCTTTATATCTTTAGACTATCTAACTAAAAAAGATAGTTCTTAGGCTTTATAAATAATTTTTGTTTTGTTTTAACTGAGCCTTTTAAATGAAATCTCCTATATTAATGGTGATGGGCTAAATATATAGATATCGAGTCCATGCTTTATTGTCATTATTAGAAAAATAAATGTTTTGAATAGTAATTTTTAAAACAATACGTGGTTAAAATTTTTTATTTTTTTTAATTTACTTGCATAACATTTTTATTATGTTAATGTGTAGTTAAAAATACGTAATCTAAAAAAAGAGTTTTCAGATAATGACCATAAAAAATGGGCTTAAAAAATTAGGAACCGTTATAAACTAGAGAGAGGAGAGAAGAAATTAGAAATGTCAATGTGTTTATTATATTGAAAATCATAGACCAATATTATAGGGAAGAATTAGGGATACAATAAAAAAAATTAAGACTACACGTGTATAATTGTGATGCACTAATAATTATATTATTTACAACAGGAGCCACCTTTTTCTGTTTTTTCTTCTATTTTTATTGTGATTTGAAAGTATTTTATTTCTTATTTAATATAATCACAATGGAAATTCCTAATTTTAAGTATGAAATTATGTCTTTTTCCCCAAGATTGAGTTGCAAATTTTGGTTGTCTCCAAATACCGTCTCTTTCCCGTCCCTTGTCCATTATCCACTAATTCAACTCTTGATTTAAAAAAAGTCCGTCAAGTATGTTAAAATTTCAAACCATGTCAGCTTGTCAAATGTTGGATGATTGTCAACACCACTTTGAAAGACAATCTCAAGATTTTCTCTTATGTAAACAAATTGAATTGGAGTATATATACCCAAAATGTTTTTATATCACTATATCAGTAAGTTGTCGAAGCATTTTGTTACCTACGCGATAACTATGCTCTTTTGTTCATGTATTAATATACATCGTTGACATATGGTCCAAGTGTTTTAATGCAAATGCTACCTACATGTTGTGTTAACTCTAATGTGCTTTCATTTAAGAAAAAATTAATTATGTGTTCACGCCTTAAGAATTTTCATTAACTCCTTTCCTTAAATTTGATGCACACGTACACTCGACCTTGCTAGATAAATTCATCCTAAGACAGTTCCACAAGGCTCCTGAAGGCTCAAAAGCAGTTTGACGAATTGACAATAGTATGTGAGATGATTGTGGAATAATACATTTCCGTCTACCTAGTGGCATTTGGCATTTCTACTACTTCGTTGGGCATGAGTAACCTGAAAATTGAAGGCGGGGCTTTCTCCCCCATTTTACCTCCGGCGTGATAATCAGTAAATGATATTGGGAAGTATGAAGATGAATTTAGATGGCTAGGAAAAATGCTATCGCCCATACTCGTGTCGGCCTCGAGGGTATTTATAGGTGTCGGAAGTCGGGTGGTAATGGTACCACGTGTCCCACGTTAGCCTCCCCACCATCTCCACGTTTTGAGTGGGGGATCTTAACTTCCCGCTCAGAGGTTGGGTCTGAGTAACCATCATGTATCCTTGTCAATTCATCCGAGATTTTTTGTAGCTAAGTATTGAGATGACCCTATAAACAATTTCACGTCGATCGGTGATCTTATGTAGAGATAGAGTGCCCCTAGGAGGGTCGACGGTCTCGCGTAGAGGTATAGCACCCTGGGGGGTCGATGATCTCTCGTAGAGGTAGACTCCCCCAAGGGTCGATGGGCTCGTGTAGAAGTAGGGCGGCCATGGGGGGTCGACGGCCTCGCGTTGAGGTGGAGCGCCCATGGTGGGTCGACGATCTAGCACAGAGGTAAAGCCTTGCCCCTGGGGGATAGGTAGTCTCGTGTGGAGGTGGACCGTTTCGGGATATCG